GGAAACTGGATTTTTAGTCAGTTAACTCCCTTGCCTCAGGAAGATGACATACATACATACATACATACATACATACATACATACATACATACATACATACATACATACATACATACATACATTCAATTAATCAGACTAAAAACTGCAATCATTACATAAACAGTTATAAGGGACTTTGCAGAAAATAAGTCCAAATGTTTGTTGCCATGTGTCTCTGTAATAAATATGTATTGAAGCTTACCAATTGTATTTTTGTGGTCCCAAGATACTGTAGTTTTAAAATATAATAAGAAGTTAAAATGTGATTTTTCACCCATAAATAGAGGATTATATACAAGTGTTCATGTCATACTATGTTACGACATGAGTGTCTAAATTCCGGTAATTCCTTGGTGAGAGCTAGGAAATACGGGAATTTAGTCGCGAGTGTCGTAAACATAGTATGACATGAACACGAATATAATATTCTATTTATTACCGAAGAAGATGTCCACATACAGAGACAACAGCAGCGGAACCACAATTTGTCTAATGACATCAACAATCTTCAGCTATGACATCGTTTCAAGTGTGATGTCATTCCGACCTCATGTCACAATAAGATTCGAATGACATCAACAATGCTGTCCGGATGACGGAAACAATACACTGTTGTATTGTGATGTGAGTGAGTGAGTGAGTGAGTGAGTTGGGTTTAACGCCGCTTTTAACAGTATTACAGTTATATCACGGCGTGTCAGCTTAATGTGGGAGGGAAGCCCGAAGTGATGCAGGTCACAGACGTTTACCATTTCGGTGAAACCCATGAGCACGGGTATGGTGCTGACAAACCTAGAAACATAATCAGGGCGAACCGGGATTCAAACCCACAATCATAGGTTTCTGGAGTGCCCAAGGGATGCAACTCTGCACAGGGAATCGCGGTGCCTTAGACGACTGGTCCACCCGTGCCCCCCCCCCCTCAACTGATGTGATATGACCCTAGGGCACATACGATTTTTATGTTTGCCCTCGTAGGTAATAAGGTCCCTTATCTCACGATTGGACACATAATTGAATACCGCGCATAGGTTTCTGGTGTGCCCAAGGGACGCAACTCTGCACAGCGAATTGCGGTGCCTTAGACGACTGGGCCACCCATGTCCCCCCTATTGTGATGTGATATGACCCTAGGGCACATACGGTTTTTATATTGCCCTCGTAGGTAATGAGGTCCCTTATCTCACGGTTGGAGACATAAATTGAATACCGCGCCAATTACCTTGTTGTTCACACAACTTCTTTTGAGTGGATTGAAATGAATTTGTCTTTTTACATTTCCCCATCATTGATCATAATACCATAATAAAACCATTACTGACATAATGAATGTTATGCCACTTACTATATCATATACACACAGATATTTACTTCCAATAAATTTTAAATTTGCATAATGTTATTGTATATTTTTATCATTTGTGTGAATATTTCCATATCTTGTCTCTCTTGTTGATGGTTGAATGAATAATATTATTTATATTTTTATTATGAATTTAATTATGCTTGTATTCATCTATGTCTTCGCCAATATCGGCATCCTTTTAAATATGACTGGCGTTCTTTCAATTATATCAGCATTCAATCAAGTATGAACAGTGTTCTATAGAGCATGATTGGCATTCTACATTTTACATAGCCTGAATATTGCCGATGCAAATATTAAACATTCACTCAACCAATCAGTTTGCTGCACTCAAATTTGTTTCCTAATAACAGATTAATAATTGATAAAATGCCTTGTATGTATTCTCTGGCCACTGCAATACTCGTATAGAGAGAACAAAGTCTTCTCAGAAAGGAATACATTATTTTGCATTTATCTTTTACCAAAACAAATTAAAAAGAAAAATGTTACATTGTGTTTTATCATCCAAAACTGGCTCCCACAGGAGATATGGCTTGGGTGAGGTCAAGCGATATCTACACTGTAGATATCGCTGCAATGAAATTGCATCACAATGCTTTGCAGACCATTGTGATGTCATTGGTTACCATGATGTCACAATCAAATGACATCACTCATGGCTCTGCTACTGAAGCTGTTAGCAGTACTTTTTACACTTAAGACACTGCTTATTACTGTCTACAAACTGAAAAGTTGGAAGAATGATGTTGGATGATAAATAAAATCTCACCCTCGTGTCTTTTGATATCTAATATATCAGCACTCATCAATAAAAGTTAAAACTACTCGGCAAGTCTCAGAGTTTTAAACTTTTATCGACTCATGTAGATAAATTTCATATCAAAAGACACTTGGGTGAGATTATCCATATATCTGCCAGTTATTTTGTTATTTTCTACAGGTGACTGAATGGTAATTTATTAAGAGGAGGAGAGCTGGACAATGAGATTATGGATGTGTCAAATGAAATGTAAAAATGACAGCTAGGGAGGGGTGCATGAAGAAATTCCACAGTTCTTTTTTTTTTAATGAAACGGTTAGAGTTTGAATATTATTTAGGGACAGGTCAGTTGTCACAGGGAGTTGGGGGTCATGAAAAAATGTGGCGAATCATCCCCATCTAGTGGCCATGATATAGTGGCCTGGTTCCGTCTTGGTCAAGCACATGTAACAAAGGATTAGACATGTCTTAGGGCAGGCGTTTTATATTTTTCGGATTATGGACCCGCCGACTCTAATTTTTGAGAAAATGTAAAAAAATAAAAAAATCAGATTTCCATATTTTTTTTTCGCCGATAACCGCCTAGGCAGTTATTTAATTTGTTATCATCACCTTTTAGTAAAAAAACATATAAATTTACCGTTGTAAACTAGTAAAGAGATACATAATTGATCTTTGTTGATCTCAAAGCCGAACATGAATAGCCTCCCTTGACAATTGTCTGTGTTGTAAGTGGTAGAATTTTTATTGTTACAAGGGGCTTTATTGCCACAAATGGCAGTCTTTTGAGCACAGAATATGTTCATAAAGTATGCCAGAGGCATTCTGGATTAAAAAAAATGCATCTGGCTTTTTTTCCCTCTTCCAACCCTGGACTTTGGCCTGAAAAATCCGTAATCCTAAAAATAGAAAAAAGCCTGGCCTTCCCTTGCAGGCCATTACTGTGTCACATGAATATTTTCTAAATCACACGGTCGCCATGTTCAAGCACTGGGGATTTGGGATATATTCTGTATGTGTAAACACTTGTCAGTCACTTTCGTAGATTTCTTGTACAAAATATACTAATGAATTAGAATTGGGAAGGGATTCTTTAAGCAAAGTGCTTGAAGTCAAATGCATTCTGATTAGTTTGTACATACATTTATCAATAGGGGACAAGGCTTCTTGCATGTGGAGATAAAGTTAAGTGCTCTTGCAGCGGGACTGAAAAAATAATTAAATATGAAAATCACTGTATATTTTTTAATTGTGCCGACTTAATTATCATTTTACCACTAAGTATACTGGACAAAAAAAGTTAGAGATCGTGAATATTTTTGGGGATATTTTTGTTATTTTGAAGACAGGGTTTCTTTAAATGTGTATGGTGTATAAAAATGTCATGATCCCTAACATTTTTTGTTCAGTATATATTTTATACATAAGTGAAAATGATTTCTCACGAAAGAATCAGTAAGCTCTGTATACCAATACATACCAGGTAAAACTCTGGCTTAAGCATTTAGTGTTGGAGAAGTTCACCAATTTCAAACCTCGGTGGGGCCAAGAGTTGTGCTTTCTGGTAAACATTCTCAGGAGGGGTGTGGCAGTTGATTGTTTGCTCGAAAACAACCCACACTTAGTGTCAACCACTATCTTGTATTGATGTACTATCATTTTGTAATTTCATAATTCTGTAGAATTGGCTTTGAAAATAAAACTGTTTATGAGATGCATCGTTATCTGATCATTTGCATTAGACATGATTGGTTTGTTGGTTTGTTGTTTAACGCCGCACTCAGCAATATTCCAGCTATATGATGGCGGTCTATAAATAATCGAGTCCGGACCAGACAATCCAGTGATTGATATCATGAGCATCGATCCACGCAATTGGGATACAATGACATGCATCAGCCAAGTCAGCGAGCCTGACCACCCGATCCTGTTAGTTGCCTCTTTCGACAAGCATAGTCGCCTTTTACAGCAAGCATTGGTTGCTGAAGACTTATTCTACCCCAATAACTGAAGAAGTGTAGAAGGAAAGCATTATAGTCATGAAAAGATGACACAGCTAAAGAGGGGGATTTACAGCCTGCTGGCATAGTGTAGAATTCGAACCTACGCTTCTCAGAGTAAGGCAACTAATCGCCAACACACAAAGTCAGCAACCTTGCCCACTCATCCACCGTGGTACAACGACAAGCAAGTGAGCCTGATCCATAAAACAGCCACTTACGGCCAGCATAGGTTGCTGAGGACAATACCAACCCACATCCCATCTTCCCGAGGCAAGGGCGTTAACGGTCTATAAAAGTCCAGTTTCCACCCTTGCCGAACTAGGCTGGAATTCCGGAATAACATTTTGGCTGGACTAATTAGTCTATGCATGGTCCAATCTAATCGCATACAGAACTAGACATCCAGTTCATAAACAACATGGATTTCAAGATGCACATTTGTCGACTACAGGATTTCCAAAGCATATGTACCGACAAGTGGGTGTCGACAGATAAATTTGCAAATCTTTTCATGGGCTCGATTGATTGGATGTACATTACAGGGTCAGATCCCTTTTATAACAACATAGGTCTTGATTATCGACCTGATCGCCTTGAGTGGGCGTGGCCATTTTGTTTGAAGCAAATGCAAGTGATATAAGAGATGGAATCTTACTGGTCAATAGGAGGGACATGGGAGGGACATAATTGATAAAAGCCACTGGCAGCGCTACGATAAAGCCTGGAAATTCGAGTTCAGCCAGGGTGGAAACTGGACTTTTATAGTCAGTTAATGCCCTTGCCTCAGGAAGATGCCCCCATACCCACCACAAAACAACAAACTCTGAGGTATTTAAACAGTTTCTTTACTCTTCTGTGTACAGAAAATGTACATATTAAATATCTATTTACATGTCATGACAAGTCTAGGAGTTAATACCTACATAGACACTATACAGGGAGTACTTTGTACAATAACGAGCAGCAGCAGAACGTCGCTATAGAAACCTGCAAATATACAAGACCTGCCATCAACAGGGTTAATCTGTACACTTATAAACATCAGGTGGTAGAAACATACAAGACCACCGACTCGACAGAAATACTCACACCACATTATTATGTAACGTCAAAACGGTTTGGGGACAAATTTGAAGTTTCGTCAACACCAGGCCACAACATGGGTGAATATCACAAGTTCCCTGTGTACAGTGAGTGAGTGAGTGAGTGAGTGAGTGAGTGAGTGAGTGAGAGTACGGTTTTACGCCGCTTTTAGCAATATTCCAGCAATATCACGGCGGGGGACACCAGAAATGGGCTTCCCACATTGTACCCATGTCGGGATTCGAACCTGGGTCTTCGGCGTGACGAGCGAACGCTTTAACCATTAGGTTACCCGACCGCCCCCACCTGTGTACAGGATGCCATTGTTTGAAACACTGACACAAAACGGAACAGGAATCAGACTATGCCACACTGTTATATACTACTCGAACGAAGCCAACACTTGATTCTTTCATATTATGCCATGACAGATCAACTAAAGTGATATGAAAGAGCTAGTTCCTTAACTTCTTTTGAGTAATATATTTAAGCTAAGCATAAAATTAAATTTCTTTCATTAGAGCTTATTTATTACTACTTGGGCACTTACATAGGAGTCAAATATAAACAGAATTTCTTTCCAATAAGGAAATTTCTTTCATGTACACTGTCAATACAACACAGGTTTGTATACCTGCATTATGGGGGCAGGGCGCGGCAGGGCGGGGCATGTATTCAAGGGTGATGGAGGAACACAGTGTACGCAAACCAGTTAAGTATTGACGATATCCAAGTAGTCCATTCTCAACTTATTAATAACAGAAACAAGACTGCGTCAAATTTGAATGAAAGCTGAAAATTACCCCAATCGTTTTTTGCAGAGGTCAATTAGTAATCAAAAGTTTATCATTAGGAAAATATTTCAACCCTTAACTAGAAACTGAAATCTAAATCATGAAAGTCACAACAGTATACCTTAGATTACATGTTCTAGGTATTTGTTAAGTGTGTCATATGGATACAATATGCAAATATACGAATGATAATATCAACACAAATCTTGAGCAAGGTACATGGTTAATTCTATGTGCATCTACATAATGACCTTCTAACGACATATTGACAGCGTTAACCTAGTTAATGAATGTCTAACAACACACAGCTTTAACTTACCTAATGAATATATAGCAACATACTTGGAGCTACACCTGTCATAAGCCCATGTTAAGAGTATGGGAGTTACGATTGTCATATAGCTACGACTATCATAAGCCCATATTAATAGTATGGGAGTTACGATCATCATAGAACTACGACTATCATAAGCCCATATTAAGAGTATGGGAGTTACGATTGTCATAGTGCTACGACTATCAAGCCCATATTAATAGTATGGGAGTTACGATCATCATAGAACTACGACTATCATAAGCCCATATTAAGAGTATGGGAGTTACGATTGTCGTAGGGCTAGACTACCATAGCACCAACATCGCTTTATGCAGGTTAGCTCAGAAGCTCTTAATCATTGTCACAATAGTGGAACAGAAAGTCTTAGACAGCCCATGATACCAAAATCAGTTAGGCCTAAAATAACACAAGGCCAAAATCTGTTACAAAGGAATTCCGTCCTTCCAACGTCAGCAGTACATCTTGATTGAACTTTTCTCACAAAATAATTTACACCAGTAAAATTTACCCTGTTTTCTGGTACACAAACCAAGACTGTTCCTGAAATGAGAGTTTGAAGGCTACTTTGACATACATGCCCACACATAGACCAGTACTTAAATGTGACCTTGGTTTTTATTACGGCAAATCATTACTCTGAATCTGTCATACAGATAGCATCTTCTCGAGGCAAGGGAGTTGTAAAGTCATGTTTCTCCCCTCGCCAAACTAGGCTGGAATTATGGAGTCGTATTTTGGCTGGACTAACGAATCTATGCATAGTCCAATCAGAATCGTGTACAGAAAGTGACATCTGGTTCGTAAACAAACCGGATTTCAACGCGCAGATTATGGTCGACTGCAGGATTTGCAATGGATGTGTACCGTCAACTGGATGTCGACAGATATTTTTTTTCAAATCTTTTCATGTTTCTAATCAAGGTTCTCACATGATGTGATGCACTTCGCAAGGTAAGATCCGTTTGATTACAATATATATCTTGATTATCGATCAGATCGTCTTGTCTGTGCACCACCGTTTTGTTTGAAGGAAATGCAAGTGATAGGAGAGGTGGAATTTGATTGGTCAATAGGAGGGGCATTGATGCAACGTAACCCATAATAGCCACTGGTGGCGCTACGATCAAGCCTAGATATTCCAGCTTAGTTGGCAAGGGTGGAAACTGGACTTTTATAGTCAGTTTACACCCTTGCCTCGGGAAGATGTGTAGATAGTTGATTGTACAGTTTTGCACAGATTTTCACTGTGTGCATGCCAGTTTTAAAATTTTACTTCCATAAATACAAAAATAATTTAAGTCAATTCTTACATAAATTCTGTCCCTAAATTTATTAAATTTGCTTATGACATACCTGCTCGACGTAATAAGCCCCCCGCTCTAATAAGCCCCCCGCTCTAATAAGCGCCCACGGCCATATTTGCTAATATATTGGCTAGTGAACAATCCCAATTAGCACCCCTTCCAATTGATTAATGTACACAAAACTTATTTATCCGTGAAAAATATGCACTCGTGTGTTATATGCACCCTTAATTATGGGCAATTAAATTCTGGATAAATATATCTGTCGTGTATAATACACACAGTCTTTTCTTTTGTATCATTTCAGGCTGTCAGCATGGTCAGCATAAACCACAAAATATACAATCTTTCAACTCTAGTTTTTTTCTAACCAAAATTTTATTTTAATAAGAGCCCCCTATTTCAAATTTTGAGAGCGCCCTGGGGGCTTATTACGTCGTATACGGTATACTAAGTTAAGGAACACCAGATTTGTTCATATGACTACAGTAAATCTGTCATGGTTGGTGGGTATTGCAACACACAGCCTTCCAATTGTGGGTGTTCTTTAACTTGTATTGAGTGGTATATCATTCTAAAACATAAAATATCAAGAAAACTATCCCCGGACAAGGAATTCACTAGTTCAGACCCAGCAAAATGAATCTGAGGCAATATTGTTCTGAACAACTTAACAGACATGAAGACAAAATAAATAGATAATCGACACAAGTAGCAGCATACAAAAGCACAGGTGGGAACAGGAGGAGCCGTCTCAGGCCCATTTGAATGACAAAGAACAAGGCAGGAAAAGGATCTTACCTAGCAAACTGGAAATGTAAGTTTTGAGTGAGTGAGTGAGTTGGGTTTAACGCCGCTTTTAACAGTATTCCAGTTATATCACGGCGTGTCGGCTTAATGGGGAGGAAAGCCCAAAGTGATGCAGGTCTCAGACGTTTATCACTTCAGTGAAACCCACGAGCACGGGTATGGTGCTGACAAACCTAGAAACATAATCGGGCCGAACCTGGATTCGAACCCACAATCATAGGTTTCTGGCGAGCCCAAGGGACGCAACTCTGCACAGGGAATCACAGCAGTGATGACAAACTTCCACACAATACACAAGAGATGGGTGTCAGGTGTGGGGAACTGCGAGCTCCATGGACTCGTAAACCACACCACCCAAGTCATGCTCGCACCAAAAAATTAAATAGGGCCTTTTGATTATCTCTTAATCTGCCGTGATGACACACTACCGCTTCAAAATTTCTTTCCCTTCACAGAATTTAGCTTTATTTCGCTGAGAATGAAAAATTTAGCTTTAGCTCTTCAAACTAAAAATCATAATTTGTGAAACATTTACCCCCCTACAATCTCCACAATCAGCTTATATGACACATTTCATCCATCCCTCGGCATTCAGTGTTGAAAATGATAATAGTCGCTAATTCTCTTTCTCAAAACACTTCCTAGCAAATTCTATAAGTTTTCCATATTTCTCATATCCTCCAGATCTAGGGATTCAAGATGGGGCCCAGTCAGACCTTGTCCTTTGCCTTCCAAAATAAGGCTAAAAAACATAAAAGAATTGGTTCTCTGGCAATGGCTTTGGAAAAAATAGTGTGAGCGGGCGGTGTTTGTTTTGTTTTTCTTTGGTTGTCCAAACCCGTATGTAACCAAATAAACAGTTGTGTAACCAATTAAACAGTACAATCAACCTGGGAACGTGCCTCCCTACATAAATGTATTCCTTGATGAGTAAAATACTGGAATACAGTATTTGACTACCATTGGACTTGGAATATTTGAGAATTTTTTGTTGTTTAAAAAAAAAAAAAAAAAAGGAATTAAAATTGAAACATGTGGCCAACTTTATGATGTGGGCGGTGCCTGAGAACCAAGACTATTATTTTTTTTAGCTTAAGACAAAATATATAAAAATATGGAAATACCTGCAACACAACAGACACAGGCAAGCAACGCCACTTCAAAGTAAGAAGACGATGCACATAAAACATTTCATTTACAGAAAAACCCACATATTATGCACTTCATATTCTCAAACAAATATACAAACAAGATCTCATAAAATATTTCCAATATGATCAATATTTCCTCTGTTAAATGGGACCAGCCATTAGAATAGATGTAGAGTTATCACCTTTAGTGAGTGAGTGAGTGAGTACGGTTTTACGCCGCTTTTAGCAATATTCCAGCAATATCACCAGAGGGACACCAGAAATGGGCTTCAGTTATCACCTTTAACGTCAGTCCAATAAGACATTGAAATTTTTTTACGTGGGGTTCTTGAGGTTTGCCCTGTTGTGCATGAGTCTAGGGACCCCTAAAATCTTTAACTTTTATCTTAGCGCTAAGATCGCTTTGAGGACGGGGCCATGGGCTACAAAAAAAACCTTTCATGCAGAATTTCGAACTCTGGCCTTTTTTTTTAACTAGCCATTTCATTTCTTTAAGTTTCATAGAAGTAGAATATTTTCCCTCCAATAATTCAAATGTGACTATCACGTGACACATTTTCTGTCAGACAACAGATTCGCTGGTAACAGTAGGAATGGATCAAGAAAGAAAATCAAGCCAGCATTGTCATTAGGTTTATAGAATACGTCAAATTATTTAGATTTTTTTTATATAAGGAAGTAATATTTTAACATTTCCCTGAATACATGAATACATGACACTCCTGACCAGTCACGGAGACAGGTTTTGTTTTAATGACGTGATCCAACTTGGCAAGCAAGTAACGGTGAACACATTCATGAAATATTTCTGATAAAACTATGCCTACTTTGCAAAGTATTTCAAGATCTTTCTTTGGGAAACTGATCTCAAATCAATCCTGATACATTATTACTTTGTCATTTGCCTGTTAGTAAAACAAAATATTGGTGAGAGTCAAGATCCACCAAGTTTTCATAGCCCTACAACCACCTAAAACCTATGATAAATAATAGAGTGAGTGTAAGTGCGTTAGGTTTAACGCCGCTTTTAACAGTATTCCAGTTATATCGCGGCGTGTCAGCTTAATGTGGGAGGAAAGCCAGAAGTGATGCAGGTCTCAGACGTTTACCACTTCGGTGAAACCCACGAGCACGAGTATGGTGCTGACAAACCTAGAAACATAAGTGGGGCGAACCAGGATTCGAACCCACAATCATAGGTTTCTGGCGTGCCCAAGGGACGCAACTCTGCTAAGCGAATCGCGGCACCTTAGACGAATGGGTCACCTGTGCCCCTGATAAATAATAGAGTTACAAAAGGTTGCAATCTGTGGATTGGGCTTTGGCCATGAAAATATTCCCTAGTGGGGACTTTCTGTATCCGATTCTCGGCGGCATTGCTTCACACTAGCGATGGATTACCTTAAAACATGTCATTCAAGCAGTCCTGGGTGCCGCTGTACAAAGTGATCTTAGCGCTAAGGTGATCGTAACTCCCATACCTTAACATAGACATACAATTGTAGCGCTAAGGTTGTTTCAAACAACGGCACCCTGATACATACCAGCAGCCATCCCAATCATCTTCATTGGGAATTAAGTTTTCTTTGGGTTCTAGTATTAAATACATTTTACTCCCTTAGGTCCAGTTCAATGTGTATTTTGCAAACCAACGAGTAGACAGTCTTTAAAAAGACCCATTGCCTTAAATGCTGTTTGAGCTGCCTTCTAATTTGCATCCGTTCATCGGCTGTTCGAAGCGTGTCACGTGTCACATTGGAACAGCGACATACTTGTAGACGTTATAATAAGTGAGTGAGTGAGTGAGTTGGGTTAACGCCACTTTTAACAGTATTCCAGTTACATCGCGGCGTGTCAGCTTAATGTGGGAGGAAAGCTTGAAGTGATGCAGGTCTCAGACGTTTACCACTTCGGTGAAATCCACGAGCACAGGTATGGTGCTGACAAACCTAGAAACATAATCGGGGCGAACCGATATTCAAACCCACAATCATAGGTTTCTGGTGTGCCAAAGGGACGCAACACTGCACAGCAAATCGCGGCACCTTGGACGAATGGGCCAAGTGAGACTTGGAGCTTTTGTGCATTAGTCCCTGCTGTAGAGTTCAGATGTACATGCCTACATTCAGTAATTAAAGACGATTCGTAAAAAAAAAAAACATTGGGAAATAACTGTGTATTTGTATGCCAGCAGCTAAAAATCAATCGGGTAGCAGGATTTTTTTTACATTTCACACGAATACGCAACTTTTCTGGAACTCTGTAATTTCTATTAGAAACCTCACATACTGGTTCACCTTGGCAAAATAGACTGGACAATCTCACTGTACAAAAGGCACGCTCATCATCATCATCATCATCATCATCATCATCATATGTACACTGATACCACTTGATACCAAAATCTAAAATACATATAGGGAAAAATAGAACTTTTTATAAATCATTTTATACATTTCTTCATCAACTGCCTTTCTCATCATCATCACTTGAAGCTAAACATCTCGCAGCTTCAAATATCCATATTCCTTAACCTTAAATAGTGCTGGCATCTAGTTCCTGTGTACAGATAGAAAGCCTCCCTAGTGTCAGATTCGAATTCCTTAATCCAAATCACGAAAAAAACCTGATGTAGTCTGTGGAAACAAATATGCATCAGAGTTAGCAAACTTTTATGAGCAAGCCAGGAGTTTCTGTCAACAATTACATACATACATTACATTTTGTTTGTTTGTTTGTTTGTTGTTTAACGCCGCACTCAGCAATATTCCAGCTATATGACGTCCGTCTGTAAAATAATTGAGTCTGGACCAGACAATCCAGTGATCAACATCATGAGCATTGATCCACGCAATTGGGATCGATGACATGTATCAACCAAGTCAGCCAGCCTGACCACCCGATCCCGTTCGTCACCTTTTACGACAAGCATAGTCGCCTTTTACGGCAAGCATTGGTTGCGGAAGACCTATTCTACCCCGGAATCTTCACGGGTCCCATACATTACATACATACATACATTACATACATACATTTGTATTATGATGGGCAGCTATGTAGAAAGTATGATTTAAGCTAGTTTCTCGGTGTGCTTTTAGTATAGACAGCATAGCCAGTACCAGGTATATGATTAGTAGCTCAGCTCAGGCTTAAACATCTGACATGTGACCATATATTTCCTGCCCTGTCAGTTGAGAGACAGGTTTCAACCTAATTGAGTTATGTAATTTCTTATGGATAGTTATACATCTAGAAGAGTCCTCTGTGGGTAATATTGGGAACAATTTGGCCGTGTTTGTAGAGCAAAATATAAATAGACAGCGTTCAGAAGGCTGCAAGTATGTTCCCTATCCCAGACTGGCTGATCTCGTGACCTTTACAGAGGAAATATAGAACAATCGGTTGTAAATGCTGCTTGAGCTAACATTTGCAAAATAAAACTTTCTTCTCAGGGACAACAAACTACTGGAGACACCAATCCTCACAAGCAAAAGAAACGCACCAATCTTGAACAGACCGTACAGATTTGAAATGCAATGCCCAAATCGGATAACTAAATCATAATATTAAAATCTGTCCGAAAGTCTGGGCAATTTGGTCGTAGGACTGTAAAACAAAGGCAACAGTTATGTGCATTTCCTTTGGTGGTGAGCATACAAAGGAAAAACGTATGATCTCGTCGGTTAGAGAGACTAGGTCGAAGGTAAAGCAGTTAAACCATGATACAAATAAAAGCCATTTCCCGTCACGAGGAACACAAAGTAAGCAGACACACGAAGTGTAGAGTCTCAGTGAATGGTTGGTTAACTGTCCTCCCTAATTCTACATTAGGAAACATTCTTCAAATTGTTCTACAATAGTGGGAGCAGGATGATAATTACTTGAGTCAATAGGACTTTGTAACATCTTTCATTAACTTTTCACTACAGTACAAACAAACTGAGTGGAGTGCGATTTCGAATCAGAAAACACCTGTTAAAAATTTGTGAATTTTAGGATTGAAATATTTTTAAGGCCATACCCATTTGTTTATGCCTGTACAAATTTTTTTTTAAAAAAATGAAAAAAAAATGCCCCAAATTTCTGATACCGGTGAATATTTATTAAATTAAAAAAAAATTTTTTTTACAAATATTTTGAACTTATAACTGTTCATGTTAATTTTTTTATTTGAAACTTTTAAAACAGAACAGGTGTTGGATTCCAAATCCAAGCCATAGAGTATACCAAGGGAGATAACTCTGTAAGGAGAGTCTGCTCCACTGGTTCTCCCAGCCTACACTCAACCACTAGGGAGGACAGTGACACTAATGTTCATGCATTGAGAAATTTAGCGGAGGCATTGAAAACGACCCAGGATGGCCTGCCCCATGGAAGGGCGGTGTGACGGAGCTGTTGATTGGTTGGCCCATCGGCCTGACGTCGAAGCCGTGAGGGTTGTGACCGAGGATGCTGTTGATGCTCATGGCGTTGTGGATGACGTGGGGCTGCGGAGGCTGGCCCCGCTGGTGGTACAGTGACGACCCCTGGTGGGCATGTTGGAGAGAGTTGTGATCCATCCCCGCCTGTGGGAGGATGGTATTACCATGAGGGAACTTAATCGGGGAGATGTTCAAAGAGTCATTTTGCCCACCTGAGTTGACATCGGACAAGAAGTTCAGGTTGCCTAGACTGAAGTTGGGCATGTGGGGGGTGAGGGACACGCCCCCTGAATGAGACCCCAGCTGAGGGCCGTTGGATGGATTTCCTGGGTTCATCCCGAAGGTGTGTTGAAAGTTCAAACCCAAACCATTCTGCGCTCTGCTTGGAGGAAACAGGGTGTTAAACGGTGGACCAAGTTCCGCATTTTTATGCATCCCTGGTCCCGAATTTGATATTGGTCGCCCGCCTGCACCGAAAAGATTGCCCGAGAGGAACGAGGGCCCCTCGTTTGACATGTTCCTTGAAGGGGAGGGGGGCAGGTTGGGAATTTGAAAATATGTTGCTAGACCCTGATTGCTGTCGAATATCGAGTGAGCGAGGTTTGTGTCCATCTCACTGTTATAGTTCTGAGGTTGCTGCTGCTGCTGTTGTTTGGAGGCCTTCTTGCTTTGTTTTCGTGATTTCTGGGGCCGCACTTGCGCCACTGACTGAGACATTGGGTGGGCTGATTGGGGAGGAGGCTGAGACGAACAAGATGAATTGTGGGAGTTGGATGGGGTGTGGCTTTGAGGAGCCGCGGAGATGACACTTTGAGGTTGACTTTGAGGATGGGACAAAGGAGGGGTTTGTTGTGGAGGCTGCTTGCTCCCCTTCGATCCACTCTGATTGGCCGATTTCCTGGAATCAGAGTTGGGATTGGATGAATGTTCGAAGGACTGAGGAGGGTTACACTGTCTGTTGAAGGGCCCTTGTACCGGGTCATAACGGTTGGCAACAAAAGCCATGGAGCCCATCGACTGAGAAGCACTGGGGAAGTTGGCTTCGTAGGGACCCCGAGGATGAACAAGCCTGGAGGACTCTCCACTTTGAGCAGGATGATGATGAAGAGGAGGCGTGTGAAGTGATGCTGTACAAGTCTGAAAGTTGGGAGGGTAATAGGAACCACTGTTATTTACATGCGGAGATCGCTGTGACGTCGGGATATTATGATCCAGCGATTGAGAACCCTGGATTGTTCTACTGGGAGGCACATTGGCCTGTCTTTTCTGTCCATTGGCACTACCACTAAAATGAGCATTTTTCTCTGGCATGCTAATCCTTGGTGGTTCTGGAGGGATATTTGAAGGCCGAGAATTCATGTCCATTAGGTGAAAGTTGAAGGAGCCTTGCCCTTGAATGTTACTATTGGGTGGGTGACGGACTGGGGGCCCAGAACCATCCAGCCGCAGGTCCACCCCTAATGCCAACATGTTGGGTTGTCCCCCTTGGGAGCCACTAGCTGTGCCACCAGGTGGCAATGGAGTCTGTTGTGAGACTGGTGGATGGAGAGGGTAAAATGAGAACTGATGATGATTGTGGGATGGGAGAGGCCCTGAACTGCTGCTGGCTGTAGTGGTGGTGGTGGTGGTGGTGGTCACGGGCGTCAAACTGAACGAAAACGGAGTTGCTGAGTTTGAGGAGTTTGTCAGAGCTTCAGGCAAGCTGTTGCTTGTAGTGCTGGACGTCAAGTTGAGCCCAATGCTTGTAAAGTTAAAACTCTCATTTGTTGAGTCTGTCGGTAAGCGTCCAAACCCATTACCACTGCTGGGCACATTTGTGGAGGATGTTTGAGACCTTGTTTCGGCACTGCCACTATTTCGGCTTGGCTGTACAAAATTGTCCGCAGAGTATATACTATTCCGCGACCTCTGGCTAGCAGAGTTGTCGGTGGTGTTCATAGGCTTGCTTGTTTGACTGGAAGGAGGATGGGTGAGTTTGGGCATGGAAGACACTTGTGGTGGCGAGTTAAACAGTGGGTCTGCTGAACCAGGGACTTCGTGACAAGGAGATCGCTGGAAGGAAGAGACTTGACCTTGACCGTGACCTTTATTTGCAAAAGGCGACTGACTCTCCTGACCTCCTCTAGACCGAGGTGGTGCAGGTGGCGACACCATACTTGTTGAAGATGGTGACTGCTGCATCGTGCTGGATTTCTGTGATGAGGGATAGTTCATTTGTTGCTGAGGCGGTAAGTTTGCTGATTTGCTTCTCTGACTCGGCTGGTTCGGCATGCTTTGATTGGAAGGCTGGTTGTGTGGATGGATTTGTGCTGGCTGTTGTGAACTTGGCCTTGGGCTTGGATTCGGCTGTTGCTGTTGAAGAGGAGGAGGAGCCGCCATCTGTGGCGGATGGGAGGGAGGTCGGGGCACCTGCAGAGACTGAGATGGAGATTGCTGTAGGGGTGGAGGGGACTGCCATGGAGTTGGCTGTGGTGGCGGCGGCGGCGGCTGTGGAGTAGGCTGTTGTGGCGTGAGCTGTTGATCTATCTGTGGTTGGTATGTTGGAGAGGTCTCCATGATTAGGGCGCCTGGGGAAGGAGATGCCGAGGGTGTAGCTGTCAACTCGGCAAGAGCATCAACTCCGCTGGATGAGATTGCAGCTACGACCATGTCGGACATCTGACCCTGGGCACTACCAGCTGATGCAGGAGACAGTATTGAACTGGACACAGCGTTCTCCATCAAGTCTGACTTCGGAGGAAGGTTAGAGGAGACACTGCTTGTCTTCTGTGTGGAGTCATCAGAGCTTGAAGCTGTGATAGGCGAAGGTTTGGAGAAGATTTGGTTGTCTGTGTGAGACAGTCTGGAGCTGGAGCTGGTCTGGGACACATTACTTGTAGTATCGGTCATCGGATTTGAGGGGGTTGATGAAACAGACCCATTAAATGACTGAACACAAGGTTCTTGAGCATCACCTATGTCCATGTTTTTGTTACTTTCAGAGTGCGTGAATGGAGACTTGACACTCTCTGTTGGCTGAGACGTGCTGGGCTCTGTCTGTAGAGGCAGAGCTTGAGACAAAACAGTGTCCAACAAGTCAAAGTTCTCAGCAGCAGTATTAGCCTCCTTTGTCAAGGGAGGTAACTCCACAGGGGCCTTGGGGGTGGGAGGGTTCGGGGCTTGAGCTGGGGTTGGGGCTTGGGGTGGAGCTTGGGGTGGGGCAGGACGTGAGGGGGGAGGCACAGACACAGGGAGGGAGTTCTGGTTATGGAGAGGACCAAGACTTCGTCTAGTAGGAGACACCTCAGGAGGACTGTCTTCATCAAAGTCAAAGACTGACAAAGCCTTGTTACTCTGAGGCTGGGGGACTGGCACTTTCTCCTTCTCCTTTGCCGAGTTCCTTTTCCGTTTCTTATTAGCAGGCTCACCACCATCAGCATCAGCCTTGCCCTTCCTACTCTTCTTCTTCACTGGTTCCACAGGAGCACCAAAGCTTTCAACCTGGTCCAGCACATCGGAAATCTGGCTAACACTGAATTCAATAGTCTCTGGCATATTCACAACCTTTGGTTCGGGTTCCGTGTTAACTGGGGGTGGTGGCGGTGGCGGTGGCGGTGGCGCTGGGGGTAGGGGTTGGGCTGATGCTTGTTTCTTTTTTTTACTGGACGACTTTTTGGATTCCGGTTTTCCTGTTTCTGGGGTGGTGGTGTTCTTGCTTTTGGATTTGGATTTTGACTTGGATTTTTTGGTTGGAGTCGAGGTGGCCTGTTCTGGGGCTGGGGGGGTTGGTGGGGTCAACACGGAGGGTTGCACGGAGGGTTGCACTGGTGGTTGCATTGGTGGTTGCACTGGTGGTTGCACTGGTGTTGTCTGCACTGGTGGCAGCACGGGAGGCAGCACAGGAGGCAGCACGGGAGGCAGCACGGGAGGCACCTCCGGAGGCTGAAACACAGAATGAGTGAGTGAATTAGTGACTGACAGCACTAATAGCATCATTATCAGCCAATGTATCTTATCGCCATTCTATAATGATTAATACCGATACCCACCAGAGCTTTGTTTTGGAAGTGACGTAAAAATCTCTATCTCTCCTATCAGTATCTGAGAGTCATTTGATTGGACGATGAAGTTTAGAGTCATGGTATTCCAAACTCAGTCTCAGGGCCAAGCTGGGTCAGGTATTCATCTTCATAGAAGGGAGATATAATGCCCTGGAAGGCCGAAGATGATACTGAACGGATGAATGGTGTTTCAAGCATCAATATGAAGCTTATATAACCCGACTGCCTGCAGTCTTCATTATGACACCTATATAACATGGTGGCCTGCAGTCATCAGTATGACACCTATATAACATGGTGGCCTGCAGTCATCAGTATGACACCTATATAACATGGTGGCCTGCAGTCATCAGTATGACACCTATATAACATGGTGACCTTCAGTCATCAGTATCACACCTATATAACCTGGTGACCTGCACTCATCAGTATGACACCTGTATAACATGGTGACCTGCAGTCATCAGTATGACACCTATATTACATGGTGGCCTGCAGTCATCAGTATGACACCTATATTACATGGTGGCCTGCAGTCATCAGTATGACACCTATATAACATGGTGAAAGGCAGTCATCAATATGACATATATATATAACATGGTGACCTGCAGTCATCAGTATGACACCTATATCACACGATGACCTGCAGTCATCAGTTTGACAACTGTATAACATGGTGGCCTGCAGTCATCAGTATGACACCTATATCACATGATGACCTGCAGTCATCAGTATCACACCTATATAACATGGTGTCCTGCAGTCATCAGTATGACACCTATATAACATGGTGACCTGCAGTCATCAGTATGACACCTATATCACATGATGACCTGCAGTCATCAGTATGACACCTATATAACATGGTAGCCTGCAGTCATCAATATGACACCTACATAACATGGCAGCCTGCAGTCATCAGTATGACACCTACATAACATGGTGGCCTGAGGTCATCAATATGACACCTACATAACATGGCAGCCCGCAGTCATCAGTATGACACCTTTATAACATGGCAGCCTGCAGTCATCAGTATGACACCTATATAACATGGTGGCCTGCAGTCATCAGTATGACACCTATATAACATGGCAGCCTGCAGTCATCAGTATGACACCTATATAACATGGTGGCCTGCAGTCATCAGTATGACACCTATATAACATGGTGGCCTGCAGTCATCAGTATGACACCTATATAACATAGTGACCTGCAGTCATCAGTATCACACCTATATAACATGGTGGCCTGCAGTCATCAGTATCACACCTATATAACATGGTGGCCTGCAGTCATCAGTATGACACCTATATAACATGGTGGCCTGCAGTCATCAGTATGACACCTATATAACATGGTGGCCTGCAGTCATCAGTATGACACCTATATAACATGGCGGCCTGCAGTCATCAGTATGACACCTATATAACATGGTTGCCTGCAGTCATCAGTATGACACCTATATAACATGGTGACCTGCAGTCGTCAATATGGCACCTATATAACATGGTGGCCTGCAGTCATCAGTATGGCACCTATATAACATGCTGGCCTGCAGTCATCAGTATGACACCTATATAACATGGTGGTCTGCAGTCATCAATATTACACCTATATAACATGGTGGCCTGCAGTCATCAGTATGACACCTGTATAACATGGTGGCCTGCAGTCATCAGTATGACACCTTTATAACATGGTGGCCTGCAGTCATCAGTATCACACCTATATAACATGGTGGCCTGCAGTCGTCAATATGACACCTTTATAACATGGTGGCCTGCAGTCGTCAATATGGCACCTATATAACATGGTGGCCTGCAGTCATCAGTATGACACCTATATAACATGGTGGCCTGCAGTCGTCAATATGGCACCTGTATAACATGGTGGCCTGCAGTCGTCAATATGGCACCTACATAACATGGTGACCTGTAGTCGTCAATATGGCACCTATATAACATGGTGACCTGCAGTCGTCAATATGACACCTATATAACATGGTGACCTGCAGTCGTCAATATGACACCTATATAACATGGTGACCTGCAGTCGTCAATATGGCACCTGTATTACATGGTGACCTGTAGTCGTCAATATGGCACCTATATAACATGGTGGCCTGCAGTCATCAGTATGACACCTATATAACATGGTGGCCTGCAGTCATCAGTTTGACACCTATATTACATGGTGGCCTGCAGTCGTCAATATGACACCTATATAACATGGCAGCCTGCAGTCATCAATATGACACCTATATAACATGGTGGCCTGCAGTCATCAGTTTGACACCTATATAACATGGTGGACTGTAGTCATCAGTATGACACCTATATAACATGGTGACCTGTAGTCATCAGTATGACACCTATATAACATGGTGACCTGTAGTCATCAGTATGACACCTATATAACATGGTGACCTGCAGTCATCAGTGTGACACCTATAAAACATGGTGACCTGCAGTCATCGGTATCACACCTATATAACATGGTGACCTGCAGTCGTCAATATGACACCTATATAACATGGTGGCCTGCAGTCATCAGTATGACACCAATATAACATGGCAGCCTGCAGTCATCAGTTTGACACCTATATAACATGGTGGCTTGCAGTCATCAGTATGACACCTATATAACATGGTGGCCTGCAGTCATCAGTATAACACCTATATAACATGGTGAAAGGCAGTCATCAATATGACATATATATATAACATGGTGGCCTGCAGTCATTAGTATGACACCTGTATCACATGGTGACCTGCAGTCATCAATATGACACCTATATAACACGGTGACCTGCAGTCATCAGTATGACACCTATATAACACGGTGACCTGCAGTCATCAGTATCACACCTATATAACATGGTGGCCTGCAGTCATCAGTATGACACCTATATAACATGGTGGCCTGCAGTTATCAATATGGCACCTATATAACATGACGGCCTGCAGTCATCAGTATCACACCTATATAACATGGTGGCCTGCAGTCATCAGTATGACATCTATATAACATGGTGGCCTGCAGTCATCAGTATGACACCTATATAACACGGTGACCTGCAGTCATCAGTATGACACCTATATAACACGGTGACCTGCAGTCATCAGTATCACACCTATATAACATGGTTGCCTGCAGTCATCAGTATGACACCTATATAACATGGTGGCCTGCAGTCATCAATATGGCACCTATATAACATGGCGGCCTGCAGTCATCAGTATCACACCTATATAACATGGTGGCCTGCAGTTATCAGTATGACACCTATATAACATGGTTGCCTGCAGTCATCAGTATGACACCTATATAACATGGTGGCCTGCAGTCATCAGTATAACACCTATATAACATGGTGAAAGGCAGTCATCAATATGACATATATATATAACATGGTGGCCTGCAGTCATTAGTATGACACCTGTATCACATGGTGACCTGCAGTCATCAATATGACACCTATATAACACGGTGACCTGCAGTCATCAGTATGACACCTATATAACACGGTGACCTGCAGTCATCAGTATCACACCTATATAACATGGTGGCCTGCAGTCATCAGTATGACACATTTTTAACATGGTGGCCTGCAGTTATCAATATGGCACCTATATAACATGACGGCCTGCAGTCATCAGTATCACACCTATATAACATGGTGGCCTGCAGTCATCAATATGGCACCTATATAACATGGCGGCCTGCAGTCATCAGTATGACACCTATATAACATGGTGGCCTGCAGTCATCAGTATGACACCTATATAACATGGTGGCCTGCAGTCATCAGTATGACACCTATATAACATGGTGACCTGCAGTCTTCAGTATCACACCTATATAACATGGTGGCCTGCAGTCATCAGTATGACACCTATATAACACGGTGACCTGCAGTCATCAGTATGACACCTATATAATACGGTGACCTGCAGTCATCAGTATCACACCTATATAACATGGTTGCCTGCAGTCATCAGTATGACACCTATATAACATGGTGGCCTGCAGTCATCAATATGGCACCTATATAACATGGCGGCCTGCAGTCATCAGTATCACATCTATATCACCTGGTGGCCTGCAGTCATCAGTATGACACCTATATAACATGGTGGCCTGCAGTCATCAGTATGACACCTATATAACATGGTGACCTGCAGTCATCAGTATCACACCTATATAACATGGTGACCTGCAGTCATCAGTATGAAACCTATATAACATGGTGGCCTGCAGTCATCAGTATGACACCTATATAACACGGTGACCTGCAGTCATCAGTATCACACCTATATAACATGGTGGCCTGCAGTCATCAGAATGACACCTATATAACATGGTGGCCTGCAGTCGTCAATATGACACCTATATAAAATGGTGACCTGCAGTCATCAGTATGACACCTATATAACATGGTGGCCTGTAGTCATCAATATGACACCTATATAACATGCTGACCTGCAGTCATCAGTATGACACCTATATAACATGCTGACCTGCAGTCATCAGTATGAAACCTATATAACATGGTGGCCTGCAGTCATCAGTATGACACCTATATAACATGGTGACCTGCAGTCATCAGTATCACACCTATATAACATGGTGGCCTGCAGTCATCAGAATGACACCTATATAACATGGTGGCCTGCAGTCGTCAATATGACACCTATATAAAATGGTGACCTGCAGTCATCAGTATGACACCTATATAACATGGTGGCCTGTAGTCATCAATATGACACCTATATAACATGCTGACCTGCAGTCATCAGTATGACACCTATATAACATGGTGGCCTGCAGTCGTCAATATGACACCTATATAAAATGGTGACCTGCAGTCATTAG